ATCATCAATGTTGTTTTCTGACTTTGATCGTTGTCCCTCCCCCCTCCCTCAATTCCTCAACAGTTTTGTCGTCCTCTTTTCCTCCCCTCCCCCTCCTCATTGTATTCCCCGCCCACTCCTAGCTTTGCACGTCGTGGTAGTGCTTGTTTCCCCAGTGTTGTACCCCAGGGAACATCTTTGCTACGCAGTATCTACCCGGAGACGTCTCCGACGGAGATAGACCAATCAAAATGCTTTGTGCCTCTAGACCAAGTAAACAAATCTTCGGGGTGATAGGAAGGTATGCCCCCCCCCTGTTTTGCCTACCCTTGTTTTAACCCATAATTTGATATTTTGCAGTTAGGTTTGAAATTTTCTTGGAAATAATTGATCTGTGGCAGTTATAGCGGCTATACGTGTGATCTGCAGCAAACAATACGCAGTTTGACCCCCCAAAGCAGTACATCTGTGTGCGGGAGTACGTCTCCGAATTGTTCCTGGGTGCTCGCCGGAGACGTCTCTGAATATCTTCTGCCTCTTTGTTACGTTTCAGTGCACGATAGTCTCCCTTTGTTAGACGTGAGCTTGCATGGCATTGTGTGTTTACAGCGGCGTTCAATAAGTCTTTATGCCAGCTATGATAGCAGCTAGCTAGGACGTTGAAACTTGACACTCACAATGCCACTTTTCTATCTAGCCATCCTGCAAATTGACACACTTTTACCATCTGTGTTTGACCTTTGTTTGACCTTTTAAAAACCGTGAACATAATAATATGACCTCGGATAGGACTCAAATTGATCCTCCACTCTCGAGAACGAGGAAGAAGAAGAAGAAGATAGTGAGTGTGGGAAGATTTGGGATCCACACAGTTCTGCTGTCTGAGATGCCCCCCTCCTCCCCTCCCCCCCTCTCTCTCTCTGTGAGCTGGAACATTCTCTTGTAGTGCGAGACGTTCTCTTAGGGTACCCAAGAACCACTAAAAATTATGCTCTCAAATTCTCAGATCGTCAGATTGGAATTTCCCAAAGTTCCACATACAACATTTTAAACAAGATACAAATTCCAATCATTGAGTTTCGTTGCTGTACGACAGTTCTGTCACAGTCAGGGTAAAGTCTTATCGAACGCCCGTCGTACATGTTCTGTGCCCCTGTTTCATCTCTACAAGCGTATTGAGAGTTGTTTAGTCCCATTCACACAGACAGCCCAGCCATCGTTAACATCATTAAACAGCCTACCAGCCCAGCCCAGCCCAGCCCTAGCGATAAAATGTAGAAAACATTTACCTTAACTCATGTAGCCTATCATTTCCTAACCTTTCAGGGAAATGGCCCAGACAGCTTTGCGATGATTGTCTCAATAGTCCTACTCTCCCACTCTCCTACTCTCCTACCCTCCTACTCACCTACCCTCCTACTCTCCCCCTCTCCCACTCTCCCACTCTCCCACTCTCCCACTCTCCCACTCTCCCACTCTCTCACTCTCCTACTCTCCCACTCTCCCACTCTCCCACTCTCCCACTCTCCTACTCTCCCACTCTCCCACTCTCCTACTCTCCTACTTAGAATTTGATGTTCTGTACGCACCCCCTGTGGGATCCACGGCTGCGATTACCCACCAAAGACACCCAACAGTGCAGCCCCCAGAGACGCACTACTGTAACGCGATAAATGGTTCGTCTTTCTGGGTTGCCAAGTGCGCAGTTGCTCCAGAGTCGCCTAGGGGCACCAAGGGTACAATAATGGGATTGTCTCTCGTAAGGACGTGACTGTAGATATTCGAAACGTCAAAGTCACTTGGGTAGTTTCATTATCATCCGGTGCCTTGCCGACTGCCATGGGCGATCATGGACCTCCACTTCACTCATGCGTTGCAGCGATGGTATGGGCAGTTTAGGACGCTGTAAGATTCAAAAGACCAAGTTTAAGCCCCTAAAAGTATTACAAAGTGTGCGCCTTCAGGTAACACAGATTTAATGAATTGTCCAGAGAGAATAGTATGAAAACTGCCAAGTGTAACAATAAACAAGTGTCGTTTGTACAACAATAACGTGTACCGTATGTCATTATCGATACCGGGTTGAGGGAAAATCCATTAAAGCAACGTCCCACAAAACAAGAAATCTAGTCTACCATTCCAGGACACGGGTTTGCTGTGTTGTGGGTAGGAAAACCTTTAGAACAGTTTATTTTTAACCGCCTTAGAAAACACCCACCCACCCGTGCACGTCAGCGCATGTCGTATTGGCAAAGAAAAGGCCAGCCAGCAGTTGTTTGCTCGTGAGAGCGCCCCCTGAGACGAGCGTTTTGTCTGTCTGTCTGTCCCAGGACTACTCCGTGGAGCTGTATCTCTCCATGACCTGGATGGACGTACGGCTCAACTACACGCTCTTGCACAATTCCTCCTGGCTGGAGGTGGACACCAAGATGATGGACCTCGTCTGGGTGCCTGATGTCTACTTCCGGAACGAGAAAGAGGCGTCGTTCCATGACGTGACGGTGCCCAACAAGTACATGCATCTGTACCGCGAGGGAGAGGTCAAATACAGCATGCGGTACGGCCCTCCTTGTTCCAACTTCGTTGTGTGTACCCTGGGGGGCTCCAACCAAGTCCGTTATGTATACAGTGAGGGGGCTTCAACCATGTCCGTTATGTATACAGTGAGGGGGGCTCCAACCATGTCCGTTATGTATACAGTGTGGGGGCTCCAACCATGTCCGTTATGTATACAGTGTGGGGGCTTCAACCATGTCCGTTATGTATACAGTGTGGGGGCTTCAACCATGTCCGTTATGCATACAGTGTGGCGGCTCCAACCATGTCCGTTATGTATACAGTGTGGGGGCTTCAACCAACTTCCTCCAATAACCAACTTCATTGTGTATACCCCCCGGGTGCTCCAATCTACTCCGTTGTGTATACCCCTGGGGGGCTCCAACCACGCTATTTGGCGTCTGTGGTGTAGCCGTTAGCTGTAGCCAAAGATCGTACATAACAAGATAGTTCACTCAGCCAAAAAAGTGTCTGCGGAAGTCTGGGCATTTGTTCAGATGGCGCTGCAGTCTTTGTTTTTTTTTGTTTTTTTTTTTTTTACTTTCGGATGAGGCTAAAACAGCACCTGGACCTGGATGGCTGGTGCCTCTATAAATAAATTATTGATTGTCAGATCAGGTTTTGAAGCTCTCTTTCGTTTCTCCAGAAGAAGAATAGGAATAGTACAGTTTGTTTGTTCCGCTTTTATTGTTTTTCACACAAGGAGGGTAACTGTTCGCAAAGTCTGCACTTTTTCGAAGAGGGTGTTACTGGATTTTGAGGACACTTTTTTAATTGTGTCAAAGAAAGGAAAGAACTATCTTGTTATGAACGATCTTTGCTGGAGCTTGGATGTCCCAGGCAGGGGATGGGGGCGAGTTGGATTCACGAGTGGTGTATCGTGTATCTCGGTCTTTCTGCTGGGTTGTTGTATTTCTCTCATCCTCGTGTTGTATAGGCAGGGTCGCATGCCCAATTCCTGAATGATCTAAAGTGTGTCGATAGTGGCGTAAAACACCGTCAATGTAAAGTTCCCAGCCGTTATTGCACAGATAATTAAAAAGACAAAATGTAGATGAGTTTTCTAGCCCCTACTCTCGTGTGCACACAGCTCTGGCCCCTTGACATTCAACCAAGTAGAAAGAATTCGTTTTTTCTTCCTTTTAAAACATTTCCACATTCGAAATCGCGCATAAAATAAATAAACTTGTTCTAACCAGATCAGATGTTAATTTCAGCAGATTTGCCTCGAGAGCTGTACCCACGCCACAGAGACGTGTGATATTGTTGTGTTGTTCACCGCTGTATATCTTCCTTTGTTGCTATCTTAGGGCAGGTGTTCTTTGTCTAAAGCACGTCAAAGTGCTTGTTGAGAGGTGAATTATAATTCCAGGTTCTCGGACAGTTGAGAAATTACGTAACCTTCAGTGACGTAACTTAGAGTTTATTTTTCAACCTGAAACTCAAAATAGTCGATTAGGCCCTCTTAAATCACATGTGTCTTCAGTTTGTTGAAACTACCTCCACTGAGCTTAAACTACCTCCACTGAGCTGAAACTACCTCCACTGAGCTTAAACTACCTCCACTGAGCTTAAACTACCTCCACTGAGCTTAAACTACCTCCACTGAGCTTAAACTACCTCCACTGAGCTTTTGAAGTATTTGACTGGAGCAGAAACAATCTCCTGACACTACGCTATACCAATAATGGCTTGTACGCATGTGGCTTCTCTAGTCAGATACGTATGATTTAAGTCTCTGAGTGAAGTAGAAATATGTAAGTGGCACTAATCTTTTACAATCGCCTGCACACATCATATTGTGGTTCCTTCCAGCCGCTTTCACCCCCACGCTAGGCACATAATCCCTCATGTTGCTTCCCCTCCCCATTGTGCTTTCTTGATTGTATCCATTCCTCTGCTTGTATTTATTGGATTTTATTTTCCGAGTGTGGTCGGGTATGCACGTTACAGGAACAGACTGTCTCTGTGCGAGGCCAGGACAACCTTTTTGTCCCTTTCCCTATATTTGACTCCAACATTTTTTTTGTCTACAGCAATGCACTCCTGGTCGTTTGATTATTACAATAGGAGCCTGTGAGGTCCTGGTCGTTTGATTATTACAATAGGAGCCTGTGAGGTCCTGGTCGTTTGATTATTACAATAGGAGCCTGTGAGGAATGATTACGGCACTGTGTCGCGTAGTGGGCGAAGATTACTTCCTTCACGCAGAGATGCCAATAAAATATAGTGGTATAAATACCGATGTCTCTAATTATATCAATACGCATTTGGTGTTCCCTTTGGAGTGTGATGAATTTTGAAAAAAAGAGCACATGTAGAAGCAAAGCTTGCTCTAAAATCAATAACCTATATCTTAGAATCGCCATTTAATTTGCAATATTGTGCACTGATTTTTGGCAAACTTTTTTTCAAATTAACAGTGAGACATATTACTGAGTCCTAGATGGTGGGTTGTTTTTTTTTTTTGGGGGGGGGGAGAGAGGTGGTAGTGAGAGAGATAAACGGTCACATGTTTATATACCAAGTTTTGATTTTTCCAAACATAACCAAGTTTACTCGCACAGTGACGACTTCTAAGTTCTGACGTCTTCTGTCACCCAAATACAAAACTTGTTGAAAAGATTGAAGTTCCCAGTCTTTAATGGTTTCCTCTCACACCACTCAGAGCTTACCCCGAGCAGACGGTGTTGTGTTGCTCAATCGGCTCGTATATGACCTTATTGTGTTGCAAGTGCCGTAAACCTCATACCTAAACTAATGTCGCTCCAGGAACTCACAACACAGTCAAGGTCACATCTGGTAGATGGCTGCTGGATTTGTGAAATCAGACGCGGTTTTTTTCTGTCAACTTTCACCCCCCCCCTCCCTCCCCCAACACGCGCTCACTTTACAATACAACGTTCTTTGGCACAAGTGCGTTTTGATTCAGATGCTGAAACTCAGACGGCACGAGCAATTTTTTTTTCAGCCGGTATGCTGGACCACACAATAGTCCCATGGTTGTGTTCTTGTCTCGTGTGATGACCTTGTACATAATATTTGAAGAGCACAGGGCAATAAACGACGGTAGTCACAAACTGGAAATTGTGAGGGTGCCAATTTTAAAAGCTTGTGAACTCATAACTTTATATCTGTTCGACTGGTGGTTTATTGTTAAGTGTTGTTGAATGGGAAATCTATCAACAATAATCAACTGACAGAAATACAGTTATGAGTCAACAAGCGTTCAAAATTGGTAATCTCACGATTTTCAGTCCCTGACTACCGTCGCTTTCCCCCTGTAGTCTTCAGACGGATGTCAAACAGCTTCCTACACGCTGGGATTGCCTGGTGTGTTGTCTAGCTGTGTTTCTCCTTTCTTGTCTGAACTGTTTTGAGTTTGTTTTGAAAACTTTTGCACGATGCTGTCTGTCAGTATTACGTTTTACGATCATCTTCTTTGAGCATCGGTCGCTTTCCTTTATCTAGAATTGAGACTTTAATGTAAGTAGTGAAAAAAGAAGGTGTAGTTTTCTGTAATCTGCAAACGTAGATTTGTTCATTCTTTTGTAAATTATGAAAACATTGTCTTGCCTTTTAACATTTTCGAACTACAATTTATGTACAAATTTAATATTCCATTATTGATTACCTGTGATACAATAATGTTACGTCATTAAACTACAAACTTTGTTCCCACAATCTTGGGAGGATCATTTGACTAAAACATTTTGCTTTCTCCTCTACCCCCCCCCCCCCTCTCCTGGGACGTGGTCTTCCTCTGACAGGCTTTCCCTGACCCTCAGCTGCCGCATGTTGCTCCAGAAGTACCCGCTGGACACACAGCGCTGCCCCATGCTCATCCAAAGTTGTGAGTACACATGTCATAATATGTTATATACACTCGTCCCCAGTAAAATATGAAATGGCTAACGGCCGAGTGAAAACATCCGAGAGCTTCGAGTTACAGGAAAAACCACCAAACCTGAACAATCAAAAAGTAGTTTCTGAACTTTGTGCCGGACAATCCTTAACTGAATCATAGTTTTGTAGATTTTATGGGCACCTGAGTAAAAAAAAAGTATACTGACCTCACAAACGTTCTTAACTCCATTATAATAGGATATTTATTTATTTTTTTGGTAAGTGTTTTACGGCGCTCGCAACTACATAAAGTCATGTGAGCGCGCAGGACACACTAAACATTTGTCAGTTTGTAGGAGTGGATCGCCCAGATTCCAATCCCAGACTTGGATGTTCGAGAACTCGGGCCTTTTGTGGAGTTTTACCATCTCTCAACCAATTTAGGTCAGTCTTGCTGAAGACGCATGGTGTGTAAGTGGTGCCCTCATCCTGTTTGTGCTCGTTGAACCATGCTGTCAATAATGCCATGACTGTTGCTGGATCGAATTGGATGCTGCTGCCGATCTCAGCCTGGCTGGCTATCTCATCAGCACGTTCATTGCCTTGAACACCTGCATGACCAGGGGTAAAGATCCATACAATCTTTGTGAGTATGCTGCAGACCCTTTCATGGATCCTGGAGAGGAAGGAGGAGTAGCTATGATATTGTTCCGCTTGCAATGATGTCTATTCTCAAACCAAGTAAATAGGTTACTGGAGATGCACGTTGAATTCAGAGGTGACAGGTCTTAAACAAACCAATAACGTTGATAATGGCCTTTCAAGCAATACTCTCACAGAGACAGAATTAGATTCCCCTCCGCCCGGACGAGATGCAATGTTTCTCTGCCGTCTGCTGTGACCAAACAACGACAGAGCTCGAGGAAAAGCGTGTGGTCACATAAATATTTCACAACCATTAGCTCGAGTGCCAAATGTCAACAAAACAAAACTGGCAAAGCGGCGAGAAGGTGTTCACTTTTTCGAAGCACAAATGAGCCGTCAAAAAATCTGAGCAAGTTCTTGGAGTGTAAGCAAACAGCTGCTATTCAAACGCGCTCCGTGTTTTAAATAGACTTAGGCGGGAACAGACTTTGAGAAAATAGAGACGCCAAACAAATCCGGGCCCGCCTCTGATCGTGCACGGTGCTAGGTTCCAGGGATGGTGGCCCCGCCTTTAAGAGCCGCAGTTTCCGGCAGCAAAGAAGTCCCGAGATTTCTTGTCACCACGACCGGGAGCAGAATTTCTCCACAGCATGACCGGAAGATGTTTGTTGACCGCGGAGACAATCTGGGACGGGGTAGGAAAGGGAGTACAGTTGAGAAATGCGTGGGCTGAAAACTAGGGATGAGAGGT